CTTTAGCCATCAGAATTGTTGTCTTAAGGCCAAGAAAGATGCCAAGCGGATTTATTTTACCAAGTGGATCATCATGGCCTTGCCATATTGGTCCATTTGATTGACCTTTATTATAATTATGAATTTATTTTATTTTTGGTTGCTACAAACGGGACAGACATGACTGTGGGATAGGACAGGGAGAAAGAATGAAAGAAAGAGAGGGAGAGAAAGAAAACCAAAGGGGAGAAGAGACGGTGAGAAGGGGGGGGGGGGGAAGAAAAAAACAAAACAAAAAACCCCCCCCAAAAAAAAAAAACACCTGGGTCCCCTGTATGGAGAAAAAAAAACAGAAGAGAAAGCAAACAACAAAGAGCAACAGAATAAAAAAAAAAGGCACCATCACAATTAACTAGCTAGCAGTAGATATCAGTAGATACTAAATAATAAACGATATTGTGCAGCACGCAAGATAGACAGCGCACAATGTGCTTTGAGGCAGCAGCCAAGAAAGCTGTAGTCCGCGTCTGTGAATACCCGTGTGTACACCTGTGTGCATACCTGTGTGGATCAGCATGCTTGCATTCCAAAGGTTTCTCCATGTAACGATCTGCTAGGGAGTGTGGGGAGCCACAGCCCCGTCCTCCAGGGTATGAAGCAGGTATGGAGGAGATCAAAACTGCAGCCATCCAGAGGCCCCCAGAACACAAGAGACCAAGGAAGACCAACAGAGGGGCAGCCGCGCCACTGTCCCAGTAAGAGCTGAGGAGAGTCCCAGGTGAGGGCTCGCCCAGCAGCCGCAGAGCAGAAGCCAGGGGGAGTTGCAGTGACGCGCCCGTGAGCTCCGCCGGCAGCCAGCTGTGCCTGAGTGACCGAGCCCCAGGCCGAGAGGCCGGGGGCACCCCACTTCCGAAGTGGCCCGAGCGAGCCCCAGGTTCCAGGCCCCGATAAGCGACCGCCAAGGAGTGAGCCGGTGTGTACCCCGACGCCCACCCCCAGACACAAAGAACCACCAACGCACCGACACCTGAGGGAGTCCGCCACTGGCAGGGGAAGTGGTGGTGGGTGGAGATAGGCCTCCAAACCTTGGAGGGCCTGAGATGTCCCCCGAGAGGTGGCGTCTGATACCCAACCTGACATATAGACACAGACATACAGGCACACACAGATACAAACATCCATTCCCACCCTCATGCTCTCATATGCACTCACTCCACACTCAACCAATGTGGAGACAGACATAAAGAGACGCTGTACACACGATCACACTCCCCAAGCGTACTCTACGAACCGGGTCTAGGTACCCTTGCCCCTGGAGGGGGGAACTGCACCCAGACCCAGGTGGTGTTACCCTTTTCCCTGCGGTGGGGAGAGGCAGACCGCCCCGACTCCGCAGCAGCAGGGAGGCCCCACACTCCAGACCGCAGTCGGACGGCCAACTCCTCCTAGCCCCCCGCTCCAGCAGGCCGCAGAGAACAGGGGTGAGAGAAGACTCCAAACCTCCCTCCACCCGCTCATTGTAGTGTTAATGCATGTGTGTTCTAAGGTGCAATTAAAACCCAGGAGGGCTTGGAGCTACCTGCCAGAGAGCAGCAGGTAAACACATGGTCCCTCCTGCTAGCCCTCAATGTCTACGTGTATTCAAAATTGAGAGGTGGGCAACGACGCCAGGGGTGAGGTATACAACCTGATGGTAATTTGGACTCCGTGTATCGTGCCCACCCCCAAGATCCTATATGTATGTGTAATGAGAGTGTGAGTAATGTGAATGTCTAAGTTGTGGGATAAAATTGAGGCAGAGACAGCCAGAAGGGGACAGAGGGGGGGGGGTAGCCTCCTCTGCACCCTGGTGACATACCCCTACTCCAAAGCCCTGCATGTGTGGGTGGTTGTGGTGGAGCGGGAGGAGGGAGGCAGCTGAAGATGGGGAGTGAAGGAAGGGAGGGGCAGGTGACCCCTCCCTGGGACCAGCTCCCCCGCTGACCCCAGTAGGCACTCCCATACTCCGCGACCCGCCAGGGAAAGGGGGCCCAGGCCCATCCAGACCGGGGCCCAGCGCAGCAGCGCCCCCCGGCCCCACAGAGCCCGGGACAGTCCACCCAACCCCACTACAGAGAAAACTGCACCCACCCCACCATTCATTCATCTTCCAGACTACATGAGACAATGGACGCCCAGGCTGAGATCTTCCTCCACCTCTCCTGTATCTCCCCCTCCTGCAGAGAGTTCCTGAGGAGAGGAAAGCTCCTGCAAGGTGTGACAATCTCCCCCACCAGTTGAAGAGCCCCCCAGGCGACTCGACGCACCGGCGGCACCCTGCGCCAGGGATGGGCCCCCATGCACCCACCCGCCCACAACCCCGGCAACACACAAACCAGGACCCAAGGCCCCGAGTCAAACTTTTCAGGCTTTTTGTAATCCTTTACACACCATACAAATGAAAAAAACCTCAATTGTTCAAAATATATGTTACCTTTCAAAAGTAAAACAAAACCAAATCATTCATAATTAATCCAGCAGGAATAATCGCATATTCAAATAACATGAAAAAAAAACCCACTTACACTTACCAATGATTCCCTCATTACATTATCAAATTATAAATTATGAAATTATCATGGCTAAAAAACACCAATTTGTGTTGTGGATGATCAACATGAATGCAAAAAAAAAAAAAGGACTTTGATTCTTTCTTTCTTTACGTCATCAAATATTAAGCTATCAAATCATTAAGGCTAAATACATACTTAATTTAAGTTGTGCAAAAGAGTTACAACCAAATTAATATATTTTACAGCATCCACTCCAACTGTCACAATCTACAGACAAAACCTTTATCAAAGTTTCACATTTTTAATAACAAGTCCAGGTTAAAGCAGTGCATTCTGGGAAACTTTGAAGGCTCATATGACCATGTGGGAAATGTGGCTGCTCAGAGCAGTTGATGAGTTACTGATTACTGTTACTGTTCACGGCGAAAAGGTCAGTGTATAGGAATTTCTTTTACTTATGAATTAAATTTCCTTTATGAGATTGTTACCTTAAAATAATTATTTGATATTCTGATTATTCATCAAATCCTCACCAGTTTTGTGTTGGTGGAAAACAGGTGTGTGTGTGTGTGAGTCAGTATCCTGGTCAAACTGGTTTAGCACAGTGTTTGTTGATGGAACACATGGATGCTGTGTGTTTTGTATGTGATACAAAACATAAATTCTTTACAAATCCTACTGTGTGAATTCATGGATTTTTTTTTCACATTCTGTCTCTCACAGTTGAAGTGTACCTCTGGTGCAAATTACTGACCTCTGTCATCATTTTAAGTGGGGGAACTTGCACAATCGGTGGCTGACTAAATACTTTTTTGCCCCACTGTATATACATTGTCAAAGAAACCTGTCTTTGAGTGAAGATTTAAGGTGACAGGAAATATAAATAATATAAATAAATGCAGCTTGAATCTTTACTGAAGCTCAGTATTTGAAACAGAGTTCATTCACTGCTGTAATAACTAATAATGATTGAAATTATAACTTTAATATTGGCCATATTATATTTACATCACCAAAGTGAGATGACTTTAGTCTCATGAACAACATTAGCTAATTGTCATTTACTAGCTAATCTTAAATGACTGTTCAGTACAGAAGTGAAGCCCAATAATCATGATTTCACAGTCCTGTGGTCTCAGCCTCAGATACTTATCAAATCAAAGCTCATGTAGAAACAAACAAACAAATGAACAAAAGATTTTCTCCTTCATTTCTGTCAAACAAAGCTGTGTCAAACGTGTCCAGCTGTTAGTGTCATGGTTGCTAGGCAACCTGGGCAGTGTAACGGAGTCTAGACCGTCCCATTTCACAAGCCTCGCACTTCCGGCCTTAGTGGTCTTTGAGTACGCGGCCCTTGTGGGCCGTTAAGGCTGCAGACCCTGAATTGGGATACAGCCTGTGTGTTGTAAAAGGAACAGGAAGTGATAGTGACACACAGAGAGTAAGCACTAATTGAGAGTGCTACCAAATTGTTCAAAGGCCATTTAACTCAAATTACTTCACTGGTAAGCTGAAGTTTAAACGCTAGATGGCAGCAAATTTTCAACATGACCTTTCAAGTGTCAGCTCTGAGCAGATGAGATCCAGAAGGAAGTTCCATATGCATTACATGTTCATTGGTTTTTAGTTTATCTCCAAACACTTTAGCTCTCTAGATTTGGGTTAAAGTACTAAGTGTTAAAGAAATTCATTCAAGTGGGTCAAAGGCTATTCTGGAAATGAGTAGAAGACCTTTTGTTTGTAGATATCTGAGAAGTATACACAGAATCATTCCCAGGAGGAGGAACAAAAAAGAAATCTGTTTATCAAAATGAAGCACCCTGTAGTCCAAGTTAACTAGAAGGTTGGAATTAACTTGTTTTTGTTCAGTAGAAAAAAGTCCCAGATTTGAGATTTGTAATACATATTGATTGTAAAGAATCACACGAATCTGCAACCAAATAATGTTTAGATTGTTATTATTATGTTTCCTTAACATCAAACAGTCAGCTGCTGCCGCTGGTTTCAGTGTGAATTAAAACATCAAGGTAAGAACTCTTTCCATGTTGTAGCTCTCCTGCAGGTTTAATGGGTTTTTTTCCCCTCTTCTTCTTCTTCTCTGAAGTGAAAAGATGTCTGCATTGGTTACCCACAACCAAACCGGAACAAGTCAAATTTTCCGTCTTACATCTTGGTGAAGCCCACAGAACCACGTGAGAAACACAAGAGAACAAAGGGTTGTTAATCCTGCAGAGAAACACATGCTTGCTGTGGGAACAAGAGCAAGTTATTTCTCATATTTTTATTGTAAATAACAGTGAAGTTACAGTGTCTATAAAACACATTCATATAGTTATATTAGCACTGATAGTTCTGTGTCAGTAAAAAAAATATAATTTCTGATTTTTTGAATCATAAAAGAGTAAAAAAAAACATGCATGCATATATAAAAAAAAAAACTTTGTTAACATGTAGATGTCCCCTGGTCTGAGGTGCTGGGGGACCAGATAGAGACCAGCAGCTGGACGTCAGTGGCTGGACTGGTGGACTACCTTAGCGAAGAGTAGACGACGTCTGGTTCAGGTTTAAAGTCTAAACACAAACACACACAGTTCAAACAACAGGAAACATGATTACAAGCTTTGTAGTTCAATCAAGACCTCCAGTCTCCACCTCTCTGCATCACACACAGTCCCAGTTCAGACTTGAATCAATTCAAAAACACTTGAACCTGAAATCCACAGAGGTGAAACAATTAACTCATAAACTAAACTGCATTAAATTATATTCAAAAGTCTAATATGTAATTTTTGTTCACATAATTGTTGCTTATTTTGTGTCTTTCTTGCAAGATTTGGCCTCGTTCAAGAATATCCTGTAATAAACTGGTGACCTCTACAAGGGAGTATCCCACCTCACCTTTACAGCTGGGAAAAGCTCCACCATGCAAATAATCCTGGAGAAGCAGCAAGAAACTGGGTGGATTGACGGAACTGGCAAAACATTTATTCAAAATATGGAACTAACTAGTCTTCTAAGTAATCTAACTATTCTTTTGCTCTTCTGGCATAGAAACAGTGTGAGAAGAGCTCTCTCTCTCTCTGTCTCTCATTCACTGGGTGGGCGAGCAGCGAGACTTCGGAGAACAAAGGTGAGCAGTGGTGCACAGTGGTGTTGCAATGAAGCAAGGCATAGGTGAGTGAAATTTGACCTAGTTAAGTGCACACAGAGGAAAAAAAGAGGACCTAACACTGAACTGTGTGGTGCGTCACAGCTAGATGATAACTAAAAAGCTGATTTCTAAAATATATGAATGAAATATATGAAATCAGCAGCTGATAAAAAATGTTCAGATCTACTGAGTCAAATGCTGCGGTCATGTGTGAAAGAAAGCAGCCATGCTTCAGTGCAGTACTAGGTTTATTTCAGTCTGTTAATGAGCCCTAAACTCTCATTTTCCACTTTGTGGCAAATGTTACTGAACTGCGGCAGGTACTATGTAATGCACATGGTGTAATACAGCAAGGTTTACTAAAATATCAGGATTGAGACAGTGTTACTCTATTTTGGTTTGGTTATAATTTGTAACCAGTCGGAATCAGCAACTTGTTTAAAATGATTACATTTGTCATGCTTGAAGGGGGATGGCTGCTTCCACTTAGCACATCTATTGTGCTATCCTGTAATTTCCACATTTCAACCAAAGCTCTTGTGCAAACTTGTGATAACTTTTGACCCACTTGAACAAAATCATTTCTGTTTAAGGTAATTTAAGTCAAGGTATATTAAATTAATTTACATTTTTCATTGACTTCACAGTTTGCTTTGCACTTCGAATGAATAGTGCAACTTTGCAGATAAAATATATATATATTTCTTTCTGAAATTTTACCAAGAAGTTTGAAATCTTGAGCTTTAGTCAAGATCTGGGTTGCTGATCTTTGTGTGGAGACCAGAACAACTTGTGTCCAAAGTCAGACGTAAAGATCATCTGTACCTCTTTTCATCTTTGGTGTGATGATTATGTGTTCATAACTAACATCTTCAATTCTCCTTGCTGAATAGATTACAGCTGGATCACCTTCTGTAAAACAAAGCAAACACAGATTACAGAAAATGCAGCAGCAATGTTATACTCTTTCACTTTTTTTTATTTTTTCATTATACAGACATTAAATGATTACTTCTGTGACTAGCAGGAGGTTTTCAGAGGTTTTTTCCACTCCTTTAAACCTCTGCTGAGAATCATGAAATGATTGCAGAGAACTGGTAGGTGTTTGTGTAAGAAGAACATGCACAGCCACAAAGATGCCACCTTCTTTAAGTGCCGTCTGACACACTTCACCGCAGTGCACCAAGCAAACAAATTCTCACAAAATGAACACTGCCATTGGCCAAACCAGAACTCTCTGTGGTGAAAAGTTTCTTCAACTTCAGACTACAAGAACAAACTAAATATAACAGGAAGCAGCTGCTGTGGTTTGACACAGACCTTTAAGACGACAAAAAGACCCATTGTCTTATAGTTGTCTCTTTATACACTTCATATATCCAACACATTCACCACTCTAGTAACCTGTATGTGGGTCAAGAACATGTGGCGAACACATCTGGACTGCCGTCTACCCATCTTGGTTTACTTGTGGTTCCTAGAGAATTTTAAAGTAGAATGGGGAGCAGAGCTCTCGTTCTTCAGAACTATGTTCCAGTTTCACTTCAGGAGACAGACACAATCTCAACTTTTAATATTAGACATGTTCAGCCGATCTTGGCAAATGAATTGGTGCTATATGAGTAAAAGTGAACTGAATGGAATCTGGGCACCTCTTCATTGATGGTACTACACAAAGCACAGTGTAGATTTCTACTCTGGCAGGGGGAAGTATGAACTTTCAGGTTGATGGGATCACGTTGCAGTGGACAGTGGCTTCTTGGACAGAGAGCTGAAGACATCGTTAGATGGTTGCAGACAAACATCAGTGAACATCAGTGAGACGAGAATGAGTCTGGACAGTCTGAATTGTAGATTGAACACAGGAGGTCTCATTACCAAGGATATGGGCCTGAATGTGGTGGATGTAAGGATAATTATGATGATGCTTGTATCTTAAGTCAAAGTAAGTCAAGTTAAAGTAGACTTTATTATCAAGTTTTGTTTGGTCTAAATTTCTGAACATTTTTTAGAAGCTAGATTATTTTTGATCTAATTGTATTAGATCAAAAATAATGAGTTTATTTAGAGCTCAGTGCCAATAAGACAGGTACAAGTTGCTGTGCTAGAAAATGTGGCCATCCTCATGAATTAATTATCTAATATCAGGAAGATTCTGGGTGCTTTTTCCTGTGGTCATGTTAGCCTATAATTTTCAATCAGTCTCTGTCCTTCAATACCTCTGCAAAATAACTTTATAGTCTAGTTTTTGGTGATGTTTTGTCCATAACTGACATTTTCTGTTCATATTACATTCACTTAATATGTTTGTTTAATTATTATATGCTTCTAACCTGCTTTAGATGAAGTTCAAAAATGTTTAAAATGTTTGATTGTTTTTTTTAATCATAAACAGGAAACGGTACAAATGCAGAGGTGTTAGCTTCTGTTAACCACAGACAACAAACACAGAGACCAGCACACAAATAACATCACACAGTAAGCACGAAGTGATTCGACTGCAAAGCGCCTTTTTAAAATACAACACTATGGGCCACTTGACCTTAATTAATTAATACTTATACCAATATTATGGGGCATCTTTGACAGACATGTGCCTCGGGACAAAGGTGGCTGAACTGCTGGCTGTCTGCTACGTTTCACCTCAGCTAATTGGAGTCCCTGAACTTGACTTCTGGACTGTGTTTGTAATGTTGGAGCTTCAACAGTTAAATTTTCACTCACCAGTTTTAAATCTAAGATTTTATATATGTTATTTACCAAGAACAGATGTTCTTTTACAGTATATTTAAACGTTTCCTAGCTTTTTAAAAATGTCAGCACTGTTTCTACTTTCTAAATCATACTTGTCCACACACCCAATATTACCTCCGACTGGCTGTTGTTGATGATTTGATATTGTCATATCTCTCTGCATGTTGTCATCTTCTGCAGGTTCACTGTGATCTTATGAAATGTTTAAAATTTAACAGTGAAATATGTTATTGTAAAGAGTCTAAACAGAACCTTAAAGTATCAAAAAATACATACATATATATATACATATATACACACATACAGGGAGTGCAGAATTATTAGGCAAATGAGTATTTTGTCCATATCATCCTCTTCATGCATGTTGTCTTACTCCAAGCTGTATAGGCTCGAAAGCCTACTACCAATTAAGCATATTAGGTGATGTGCATCTCTGTAATGAGAAGGGGTGTGGTCTAATGACATCAACACCCTATATCAGGTGTGCATAATTATTAGGCAACGTCCTGTCCTTTGGCAAAATGGGTCAAAAGAAGGACTTGACAGGCTCAGAAAAGTCAAAAATAGTGAGATATCTTGCAGAGGGATCAGCAGTCTCAAAATTGCAAAGCTTCTGAAGCGTGATCATCGAACAATCAAGCGTTTTATGGACTGATGAAATGAGAGTGAGTCTTGATGGGCCAGATGGATGGGCCCGTGGCTGGATTGGTAAAGGGCAGAGAGCTCCAGTCCGACTCAGACGCCAGCAAGGTGGAGGTGGAGTACTGGTTTGGGCTGGTATCATCAAAGATGAGCTTGTGGGGCCTTTTCGGGTTGAGGATGGAGTCAAGCTCAACTCCCAGTCCTACTGCCAGTTTCTGGAAGACACCTTCTTCAAGCAGTGGTACAGGAAGAAGTCTGCATCAGGAAGAAGGCAGATATCCAAGAAAGGGTCTCCAGTATGAAGAGTTGGACAGCACCAGGGCCCGACATGGTTCACGCCTACTGGCTGAAGAAGCTGACTGCACTCCACGAGCGTCTGGCAGCACAAATGAACCAGCTGCTAGTTAACGAGAGACACCCGGAATGGCTAACTGAAGGCCGGACGGTCACCTTCTTCAAGCAGTGGTACAGGAAGAAGTCTGCATCCTTCAAGAAAAACATGATTCTCATGCAGGACAATGCTCCATCACACACGTCCAAGTACTCCACAGCGTGGCTGGCAAGAAAGGGTATAAAAGAAGAAAAACTAATGACATGGCCTCCTTGTTCACCTGATCTGAACCCATTGAGAACCTGTGGTCCATCATCAAATGTGAGATTTACAAGGAGGGAAAACAGTACACCTCTCTGAACAGTGTCTGGGAGGCTGTGGTTGCTGCTGCACGCAATGTTGATGGTGAACAGATCAAAACACTGACAGAATCCATGGATGGCAGGCTTTTGAGTGTCCTTGCAAAGAAAGGTGGCTATATTGGTCGCTGATTTGTTTTTGTTTTGTTTTTGAATGTCAGAAATGTATATTTGTGAATGTGGAGATGTTATATTGGTTTCACTGGTAAAAATAAATAATTGAAATGGGTATATATTTGTTTTTTGTTAAGTTGCCTAATAATTATGCACAGTAATAGTCACCTGCACACACAGATATCCCCTAAAATAGCTAAAAGTAAAAAACTACTTCCAAAAACATTCAGCTTTGATATTAATGAGTTTCTTGGGTTCATTGAGAACATGGTTGTTGTTCAATAATAAAATTATTACACACATATGTGTATATATACACACATATGTGTGTTATACTTGTATAAGTAACCATCCAGTAACCATCACAGTGGCAGATATCCAAGAAAGGGTCTCCAGTATGAAGAGTTGGACAGCACCAGGGCCGACATGGTTCACGCCTACTGGCTGAAGAAGCTGACTGCACTCCACGAGCGTCTGGCAGCACAAATGAACCAGCTGCTAGTTAACGAGAGACACCCGGAATGGCTAACTGAAGGCCGGACGGTCACCTTCTTCAAGCAGTGGTACAGGAAGAAGTCTGCATCCTTCAAGAAAAACATGATTCTCATGCAGGACAATGCTCCATCACACACGTCCAAGTACTCCACAGCGTGGCTGGCAAGAAAGGGTATAAAAGAAGAAAAACTAATGACATGGCCTCCTTGTTCACCTGATCTGAACCCATTGAGAACCTGTGGTCCATCATCAAATGTGAGATTTACAAGGAGGGAAAACAGTACACCTCTCTGAACAGTGTCTGGGAGGCTGTGGTTGCTGCTGCACGCAATGTTGATGGTGAACAGATCAAAACACTGACAGAATCCATGGATGGCAGGCTTTTGAGTGTCCTTGCAAAGAAAGGTGGCTATATTGGTCGCTGATTTGTTTTTGTTTTGTTTTTGAATGTCAGAAATGTATATTTGTGAATGTGGAGATGTTATATTGGTTTCACTGGTAAAAATAAATAATTGAAATGGGTATATATTTGTTTTTTGTTAAGTTGCCTAATAATTATGCACAGTAATAGTCACCTGCACACACAGATATCCCCTAAAATAGCTAAAAGTAAAAAACTACTTCCAAAAACATTCAGCTTTGATATTAATGAGTTTCTTGGGTTCATTGAGAACATGGTTGTTGTTCAATAATAAAATTATTACACACATATGTGTATATATACACACATATGTGTGTTATACTTGTATAACTATGCATGTGACAAATAAAGAACCTTGAACCTTGATATATATATATATATATATATATATATATATATATATTATATATATATATATATATTATATATATATATATATATATATATATATATATATATATACACACACACAATACGGCAGCAGTGATCAGTGAGATGCTTGGCTACAAGTTGAACAGCCACAAGGGGCAGTACCCTCCATGGAGAAGGAGGCTAGACGGCAAGATCAAAGTAGCACGGAGGGAGGTTAGCCAACTAACGGAGTTGCAGAAAGGTGCGACAAATAAGGTGCCTAAGAAATACAGCAAGCTGTCCATACCTGAGGCCTTGGAAACTGCCAAGCAAAGACTCACAGCCTTGGCCAGCCGCTTGAGGAGGTACACCAGAGAGATAGAAGGCAGGAGAATAAACCAGCTGTTCTCCACAGAACCAGCAAAGGTGTACTCTCAGTGGCAAGGGAACAATAAGAGAACAGCACCACCAAGGCTGGAGACGGAGCAATACTGGAAGAGCATATGGGAGAAGGATGCAACCCATAACGGCAATGCTCAGTGGCTAGTGGATCTGAGGGCAGACCACAGCGACCTCCCTGAACAGGGTCCAGTAACCATCACAGTGGCAGATATCCAAGAAAGGGTCTCCAGTATGAAGAGTTGGACAGCACCAGGGCCCGACATGGTTCACGCCTACTGGCTGAAGAAGCTGACTGCACTCCACGAGCGTCTGGCAGCACAAATGAACCAGCTGCTAGTTAACGAGAGACACCCGGAATGGCTAACTGAAGGCCGGACGGTCCTGATCCCCAAGGACCCCAAGAAGGGACCGGTCCCTCCAACTACCGACCAATAACCTGCCTCAGTACTACATGGAAGCTCCTGTCAGGCATCATATCGGCTAAGATGAACAGGCACATGGGTCAATACATGAGCGGGACACAGAAAGGAATTGGCAAGAATACCAGAGGTGCAAAACACCAGCTACTGGTAGACAGAACAGTCAGCCGAGACTGCAAGACCAGACTGACCAACCTGTGCACTGCCTGGATTGATTACAAGAAGGCCTATGACTCAATGCCCCACAGCTGGATACTGGAATGCCTAGAATTGTACAAGATCAATGGGACCCTAAGAGCCTTCATCAGGAACTCAATGGGGATGTGGCGTACAACACTAGAGGCCAACTCCAAGCCCATAGCACAAGTCACCATCAAGTGCGGGATCTACCAAGGAGATGCTCTGTCCCCACTGCTGTTCTGCATAGGCCTGAACCCCTCAGTGAGATCATTAACAAGACTGGCTACGGATACCGACTACGGAACGGAGCAGTTGTCAGCCACCTCCTGTACATGGATGACATCAAGCTGTATGCCAAGAGTGAACGAGACATCGATTCACTGATCCACACTACCAGGCTATACAGCAATGACATTGGAATGTCGTTCGGACTGGAGAAGTGTAGTCGGATGGTAACAAAGAGAGGGAAGGTAGTCAGAACTGAGGGATTGAACTACCAGAAGGCAACATTGCAGACATAGAGGACGGTTACAAGTACCTGGGGATCCCGCAGGCAAATGGGAACCATGAAGAGGCCGCTAGAAAGGCTGCAACCACCAAGTACCTGCAGAGGGTCAGGCAAGTCCTGAGGAGTCAGCTGAATGGTAAGAACAAGATCCGGGCCATCAACACATACGCCCTGCCCGTGATCAGGTACCCTGCTGGGTAATAGGCTGGCCAAAGGAGGAGATAGAAGCCACTGACATAAAGACAAGAAAGCTCCTGACCATGCATGGAGGGTTTCACCCCAAGTCCAGCACCCTGAGGCTGTACGCTAAGCGGAAGGAAGGGGCCGGGGACTGGTGAGTGTCAGCACCACAGTCCAGGATGAGACAACGAACATCCAAGAATACATTGGGAAGATGGCCCCAACTGACCGAGTGCTCAGTGAATACCTCAGGCAGCAGAAACCCAAGAAAGAGGAGGGAGACGAGGAACCATCATGGAAGGACAGGCCCCTGCACGGTATGTACCACCGGCAGATAGAGGAGGTGGCTGATATCCAGAAATCCTACCAGTGGCTGGACAAAGCTGGACTGAAAGACAGCACAGAGGCACTAATCATGGCAGCACAAGAACAAGCTCTGAGTACAAGATCCATAGAGGCTGGGGTCTATCACACCAGGCAAGACCCCAGGTGCAGGCTGTGTAAAGATGCCCCAGAGACAATCCAGCACATAACAGCAGGGTGCAAGATGCTAGCAGGCAAGGCATACATGGAACGCCATAACCAAGTGGCCGGCATAGTGTACAGAACATCTGTGCCGAGTATAACCTGGAAGTCCCGAGGTCAAATGGGAGATGCCCCCAAGGGTGGTGGAGAATGACCGAGCTAAGATCCTGTGGGACTTCCAGATACAGACGGACAAAATGGTGGTGGCTAACCAACCGGACATAGTGGTGGTAGACAAACAGAAGAAGACGGCCGTAGTGATCGATGTAGCGGTTCCGAATGACAGCATTATCAGGAAGAAGGAACACGAGAAGCTGGAGAAATACCAAGGGCTCAGAGAAGAGCTCGAGAGGATGTGGAGGGTGAAGGTAACGGTGGTCCCCGTGGTAATCGGAGCACTAGTGCGGTGACTCCCAAGCTAGGCGAGTGGCTCCAGCAGATCCCGGGAACAACATCGGAGATCTCTGTCCAGAAGAGCGCAGTCCTGGGAACAGCTAAGATACTGCGCAGGACCCTCAAGCTCCCAGGCCTCTGGTAGAGGACCCGAGCTTGAAGGATAAACCGCCCGCAGGGGCGTGCTGGGTGTTTTTATATATATATATATATATATATATATATATATATATATATATATATATATATATAAAACAATTTCAATATATATTTAACACACCTCACATGTCTAAAATGCAGCCATCTGAGTCTCACCTTCACGTTTCCTGTGAACACATCGTCTCACTAGCAGAACCAGTAACACCAGTAGAACCACAACACAGACTGATCCAACACATGACAACACAGAGAGAACAGGAGGAGAGAGTGATGGTGGAAGAGTGATGGAGGTGGAACCAGGAGGAGGTGTGGATGTAGGTGGAGGTGTGGATGTAGGTGGAGGTGTGTGGTGTGTTCCCTAAATAAAGCAAACACAGTCATTAATTGTCGTCACATTGTGAATGTTGAAAGCTGCAGAAACACAGACAGGTGAGTGTGTCACCTGTGACAGTGATCCAGCTGGATGGAGACTCTCCATGACCGCTGATGTCACACTTGTAGAGGCCTTCATCAGACCTGGAACATGCTGGATGGTCATGTGACCTGTAGGCTGCTTCCTGATGAGGGAGCCATCTTTATAGAAAGCAGCTGGGAGTTGGAGGAGTGGTCTTTGTTTTACAGAGCAGAGTGACGTCATCTCCCTCCATCACAGGGAGGACAGGACTCTGCAGGATCACTGATCCACCTCAACACAGAGACAAACTACAGCATTTCATCCATTTACACGCAGCTTCATCAACACTAACTCCACACACTCAGCTTACCAGTGACTGTCAGGTTAACCATGTTACTGATGGGACCCTCTCTGGACTCACACCAGTAAACTCCACTGTCATGAGACATCATAGTGATGGTACAGGAAGAACCAGCTGGTTTTCCCCATGTGCTTCCACACTGAGTCCTCTGTTGTTTGCTTGTGTTTCTCCTCAGAGTCCATCCAGCAGAGCTGTCGTCCTCCTCACAGCTCAGAGACACAAAGTCTCCTTTAAATAACTGAGAGCTGCTGGGACTCACAGTCAGACGAGCTGTGACGGTTAAAATGAAAAAAAAAAACTGATGATCTGTTATACTTTTTTTTTTTCTGAGATTTTACATCTGCAAACATGAATCCAATCAGGTCATATCAGTGAGCATTTCTCAGGTTTAAACTGTGACAGAAGAAGGTTACTGACCTTGGTTTGTTGTGCAGCTCAGCAGTGAGATCAGAACTAAAGAGAAATGACACTCAGGTTGATTTGAGGTGAACATAAAGAACAACTCCACACAAACAACATTCTCTGCCAGTTGAGTGTATTTTAAACATTTTTTGCTTCATAAATTGTTTATTCTCACACCATATATTCATTTAAATGTAATTCAGTTCAACTTTATTTTGTTCATAATACCAAATTGCAACAACAATGGGCTTAAAGTTCTTTGTTTGGTAAGATAAAGACAATGATGCTGAGAAAACCCGAAAATCAGAAAGATCCATACGACCAAGAACTTTGGCAACACTGGAAAACATAAATAATAAGTATCGAAAGAACTGAGATCAGGGAGTTATGGGAATGAAAAATAAATAAAGGAAATGGCATAAAACAGATGTTTGCCATGTGCCAATTCAGGGCTGCATCCTTCAGAGGGTCCAGCCTTCATGGTCTACGTGGGCCCAGTCCTCTGAAGACCGAAAAGGCCGGAAGTGTGAGTCTGTGAAATGCAACAGTCTAGCCTTCAGACTTGTGTCACCAGCTGTCTCAGTGGAATTTAATAAACTCAGCTGTGCACATGCTCCTTGCTATCTAAAATACAAAAAGGACACTGGCGTAACCTCTCAACGATCTCACACTTCTGTTTATGTGATGTTTATTAAACTTTGTGAAAACTGTAACTTTAATCTCAGCCAAATTACTCAGGAACAAGTAAAACACTGAAAAAAGCCAACAATAAAATTTTTAAGTTATCTATATATCATGTTTAAGCTGAGTAGTGAAAGACAGCAGGGATCTGAAATGATGTGCTGGGAGTTTGCTGTTCTCACCAGCTCTAGTGAGCCTTGACCTTCCAGCTAACTATCGAGCTGGTGGGTAGCAGACGGCTCCAAAAATATCAGAGTACTTTTGCAAATATATGATGTCTTCAAAACCGAGCAGATATTTAATGTTTACACACCTACGTTCTCGGCTAAAAATATCTTAAAAGTTTATTTTGTGATCCATGAAGAGTAATATTTCAAACCCGCTCTCCTCCACCATTGCCGCATTCTAAAGTATTTTATATTTTTATAAAAATATTATCAATGCTATTTTAATTAATGAAGTGTTGAAAAGAGTAATAAGGGTAATATTACTGTGAGACATATCACATATTGACGGGGTCAGGTTATGTTAAAAAGTATAAATTGTTATACTTTGTTCATTGGTTCAAAGGTACCCCACACTTCTTTTTTTGTTTGCTTGTTTGTTCTGGTGTATTTTCATTTGAACTGTTATTCTGCCAGAGTACTCATATTTACAAGATGGCATTGAACGCCTCATTGGTGTGTCAGGAAAACTCTTTTGTACGTATGTTCCTTGAAGGGATTGGAGTCGTTCTTTTTCCACCGCAGCGAAGGGCTAGGAGTAGGAAAGGAGCTGCTGTATGTTTTTTTTATCGATCTGATTGTGAAATAAAGCATATGCAGTGAGAAAGCAACTCCAGGAGTCATCCCTGCCTTAAAGCTGCAACATATCATGGCGAGCCAGCCAGGAGGAAGGTTTGAAGAACTTCCAGCACGAGAGTGAAGCAGAAGACTGGTGTCAAGCCAGCCTCCAATTCGAGACTTGCAGTCAAGCCAGCCTCCAGTTTGTTTTACGTTCCCTGTGTATTCAAAGTATTACGGGAATGAATGTGGAAACCGGATTTCAAAATAAAAGCCAACTTCGAGTGAATTAACAGATATGTTAAGAACATAATAACATATAATTTAGGCTTTTTTTTTACAAACTCTAATGTTAGATCTATATGACACAGCCTTGTACCCTAATTGTGCCCTGTCACTATCAAGGCCATCTTATTTTGGATTTCAAAGTAAAAGCCCTGTGAATCTTCATTTTGAACTACTCTTTCAATGACTTAATAATGCTCTTAAAAGCAAAAGTCGTATTTCCAAATACTATTTGAACTTTATATCAACACTTTCCAACCACAGTCTTATTACAGTGATACCATATCAATATCAAGTCAGTCTGATTTTGCCTTTCATAGTAATGGCCCTTTGAAATTGTCCATAATTGACTTAATCTTCTAACGATTCAAAATGCTCTAAAATGAAAAATTCTTGTTTCCACAGGGTAATTCCACCTTAGATCAACAGTATACAGCCCCACAGTGATACCATATCAATATCAAGTCATTCTGATTATGCCTTCCAAAATAAAAGCCTTTTTAAATTGTCCATAATTGACCTAACTTTCAGTGATTTCAAAATGCTCTAAAATGGCACATTCCTGTTTCCACAGGGTAATTCCACTTTAGATCAACAGTATACAGCCCCACAGTGATACCATATCAATGTCAAGTCATTCTGATTTTGCCTTCCAAAGTAAAAGCCTTTCAAATAGTCCACAATTGACCTAACTTTCAGTGATTTCAAAATGCTCTAAAATGGCACATTCCTGTTTCCACAGGGTAATTCCACTTTAGATCAACAGTATACAGCCCCACAGTGATACCATATCAATGTCAAGTCATTCTGATTTTGCCTTCCAAGTAAAGCCTTTTCAAATTGTCCACAATTGACCTAACTTTCAGTGATTTCAAAATGCTCTAAAATGGAAATTTCCTGTTTCCACAGGGTAATTCCACCTTAGATCAACAGTATACAGCCCCACAGTGATACCATATCAATATCAAGTCATTCTGATTATGCCTTCCAAAATAAATGCCCTTTCAAATTGAGCATATACGACCTACTTTTTTGACGATTTCAAAATGTTCTTAAACAGAATTTTGCTGTTTCCACAGGATAATTTCACTTTAGTTCAACAGTATACAACCTCACGATGTTACCATATCAATATCAAGACATTCTGATTTTGCTTTCAAAAATAAAAGCATTTTCAAACTGCCCATATCTGACTTGATCCTGGAACAATTTCAAAATGCTCTAAAATGGAAATTTCCTGTTTCCACAGGGTAATTCCACCTTAGATCAACAGTATACAGCCCCACAGTGATACCATATCAATATCAAGTCATTCTGATTATGCCTTCCAAAATAAATGCCCTTTCAAATTGAGCATATACGACCTACTTTTTGACGATTTCAAAATGTTCTTAAACAGAATTTTGCTGTTTCCACAGGATAATTTCACTTTAGTTCAACAGTATACAACCTCACGATGTTACCATATCAATATCAAGACATTCTGATTTTGCTTTCAAAAATAAAAGCATTTTCAAACTGCCCATATCTGACTTGATCCTGGAACAATTTCAAAATGCTCTAAAATGGAAATTTCCTGTTTCCACAGGGTAATTCCACCTTAGATCAACAGTATACAGCCCCACAGTGATACCATATCAATATCAAGTCATTCTGATTATGCCTTCCAAAATAAATGCCCTTTCAAATTGAGCATATACGACCTACTTTTTGACGATTTCAAAATGTTCTTAAACAGAATTTTGCTGTTTCCACAGGATAATTTCACTTTAGTTCAACAGTATACAACCTCACGATGTTACCATATCAATATCAAGACATTCTGATTTTGCTTTCAAAAATAAAAGCATTTTCAAACTGCCCATATCTGACTTGATCCTGGAACAATTTCAAAATGCTCTAAATGGAAATTTCCTGTTTCCACAGGGTAATTCCACCTTAGATCAACAGTATACAGCCCCACAGTGATACCATATCAATATCAAGTCATTCTGATTATGCCTTCCAAAATAAATGCCCTTTCAAATTGAGCATATACGACCTACTTTTTTAACGATTTCAAAATGTTCTTAAAAAGAATTTTGCTGTTTCCACAGGATAATTTCACTTTAGTTCAACAGTATACAACCTCACGATGTTACCATATCAATATCAAGTCATTCTGATTTTGCTTTAAAAAATAAAAGCATTTTCAAACTGCCCATATCTGACTTGATCCTGGAACAATTTCAAAATGCTCTAAAATGGAAATTTCGTGTTTCCACAGGATAATTTCACTTTAGGTCAACAGTATACAACCTCACGATGTTACCATATTAATATCAAGTCATTCTGATTATGCCTTCCAAAGTAAAAGCCTTTTCAAATTGTCCACAATTGACCTAACTTTCAGTGATTTCAGAATGCTC